AAACACGCTTTCATAACAGTACAGCTAGAAACCGCTCGCCAGAACCACAGGAACTTTGCTGCAAGACAGGCATATGTAACGATGTCTTGGCGCAGATAAAGTCGTGTCTTATTTATACTCTGTTCTACTGACAACAGGCCAGCGAAAAATCTAACAATCTACAGCAAAACCATCAATTATTATGGGCGTTATAACATAGGTGTGCAGCTGAACGAAACATACACGTCGAACCCCCCCAGACGATTTAAATCCCTGACGAAACATACACGACGAACCACGGCAACGGGTTAAAAGTGTATTAAGACATGCTGATGAAGACAACAATTGCTTGGTAATGACTCTGTAAATGAGTTTCCTCATAAAAAATAAATACTCAACATTTTAGGAACTGCTGGAAACGGTGTTTCCTATCCAGTCCAACCCAAGGCTATATACTGAGTTGCCCATGGCAGTTGCAGTAATAGTAGTTGATGGCCAGTCAGACCCAGTGAGTAGTCAGTGAGGGTTAGTGATGTCACAAATTACTCGAGTGTTGACAGTTGGAGCAGTGAGTTAGCTGTGAGACAGTTTGCCAGCTGGCAACAATGTAACCATGAGAGCAGAAGAATCTCCATTGTTTTGAGCCATAACGAGGCAACAGCTAGTGAAGGCATAGCAAACTGGGAAGACTTAGTGTGTGCTGTAGTGAAAAGTAGAGTGCGTGAATTAGTGAGAGCATTATAAATACTGGTAGATATGATTTGTAAGTGTTCAGTCCAATTATCTATCCAAACCCTGTGCCTAGTCAGAAAACTCGTGGTAATATACTCCTTAATGGAGGATGTGTACTACAGTATTACAATATATAATGCTTGCAGGTACCACAGTTACCGCATATATTTGCGTTTCACAGGAAATGATCTCTTGCTGAGCAGTGAAGGTGCCTCCGTTCAGGATCTTGCAAGAAAATTCACACACCTGAATGCCAAATGGAGTGATGTCACAGACAGAATCTATGATAAATTTAAGATACTTAAAGAAGCCTCACATGAATATGGTGAATTTAGAGGCAAGTATGAAGCTCACTATTGTAAGTGGTGGTGGCGGCCTACCTGATCAATTGAGGTTATGTGGACCTGGATACAAAAGTTTATTTTACTGTCAAATTTATAGCAGTACTTCCTATGATCCCATTGCCAGCCCCATGCTGTTGACACTTTTGGCTGCATTAGAATCCCCAGTTGGTTTCCTACATATACGAGGGCTATTCGGAAAGTGACCTCCATTTTCTTAGGCAACTAATGTAGGAGGGAGTGAACTCATGTATGTGAGGTGGTGTCAAGTGACTGGTTGCCTTGTAAACCATCACATAACTGGTCATCTAACATTTGTTTTTTTCTCTTCAGAGAGAGGTATGATGTGTCCAGCGATTGATAATCCCCCCAGCTGCATAATTCACACTGTTATCCACTGTTAACATGACTGTTTTATAAAGCCATCATGAATTGTATGTGGTTTATGACCAAAATGTATTGAGTGAAGGAACTATAAAACAGTGGTGTAGCATGTCCAGAGATGGGCAAACAAATGTTCACGATGATTACCGAAGTTTTCGGCCAGGCATCTATAGTGAGTGAGTGCTGGATGATATTGTTCCAAGTGTTTACCCCCAAATTGGTGAAAGATGGCATTTCACAATTTCAGAACTTTCACATAAATTTCCACAAATTTCATGCACTATTCTCTATGAGATTATCACAGTTAGACTAGCTATCACAAATTTTTCAAAAGATGGATTCCAAAAATGTTCACAGGTGCTTGCAAAATGGAGCGAAGGGCTTCAGCTTCGACTCTTTTAGAGTGATACCACAAAGATTATGATGAATTTCTCAGTCACATTGTAACAGGTGATGAAACTTGGGTTGCATTTGTGAATGTTGAAACCAGTGAGCAGTCTGAGCAGTGGCTGCACACACATTCACCAACAAACTGAATCAGTTTAAACAAACCTTGTCTGCCAGAAAGCTTTTGGCAGCTTTTTTTCTGGGACAGGAAAGGAGTGCTGATGGTGGAAATCATGCAGCAAGGCACCACAATGATAGAAGCATATTGTGAAACATTAAAAAAACTGTGTAGAGACATTCAGAACAAAAGATGTAGAATGCTGGCATCCAATTTAGTGCTCCTCCATGACAATTCATGTACACATACAGCTGCTCACACTCGAGGATTGCTGGGAGTTGTTTCATCACCTTCCTTACAGCCCTGATCTCACTCCAAATGACTACCTGAAGAGCTGGTTCTGATCACAGCACTTGTAGTTGATGGAAGGTGTCAAAACATGGCTGAGCTTACAGGCTGTCAAACTTCTTTGACACAGGCATACAAAAACTTATTCTATGATTCGATAAGTGCCTCAATTCTGGCAGTGACTACATTGAGAAATAGCCTAAGCATGTACATATTTTTTGTATGTAATAATTTTTTTTTCGCATTGCTTGTTCTGTTAACAGCTTGTTGGAAGTTACTTTCTGAATAGCCCTCATGTTTGTGCATGTGTCCTTATAATTATCCTGTGTTATGAAGTTGTTATACCTCTCCCTTCATTAAGATGTCTGACAGTTAAATAATCATAGCGTTTCTGTCAGGAGAGAAATAAAGCAAGTACTCCATTTAAGATTTCTTTAGGGAGCATTGAGTTTGAACATTTAACTGAGGAAATCATAAATGAAGGTATTGACTTGAGATCATTGAAATTGAACATTAAACGAGAAGAAATTTAAATTGGAAATATTTATTGAGGATTCCTCTATATGGAATTGTCTCTAAGCTTCAGTGATTCAGCAGATTTTACTCTTGCCTTGCCTAGTACCAGCTGTGCGATGTTACCTTCCAGTCAGTCGGGAATGGTCCCTACTCTTTAGAACATTAATAACTTTTTTGTATGGGCAGTTGCCTAATAATGGTTTACAGAACTGTTGAAATGTATTTAGTTTTATATTAATTTTATAATGGACAATTCCTTTGATGTAAAGAAATTAGATTACTTTAAAATGACATGTTATTTTGACAATCCCAGTCTGTTTGTATGGGTGTCAGAGACTTTGGGCTTCTCCATTGGAGATTTCAGTGTTCTATTTCTGAGTCAAACTGGAAGACCCAGATTTCATCATCACTCACTGTCTTCTGTAAAAGTCAGATTTGTCCAGCAATATTAAAAAAAAAAAACTATGGGCAAGTCTTTTTACTCCTCATAGTCTACTTTCTGCTACGTGTTACCGTCTATTACTAATGTGGACTATTATGTCATTAGAAAGTTATTAGATCCTTTTTTTATTATACTGCCGGTATTTGTACTCTGGTGGAAAATTCAGATATACTTACACAGGACTTTTCTATCATAATGCTGTCTGCACAAGGTATTAATAGAGTTTAATAGAGTAGATGACTCTGATGACAGTTTTTGGCACCATTGTGGCACAGATTTTCTTCATGTTAATATCTTCTGTTATTTCAATCAGTGACGATCATTTTTCCTTTGTCATTTATTGTGACTTCTATAATTCACCAAAGACAGTGTATTAAGTATGAAATGTCTTACTGTTCAGCTCTGGTTGCTCAAGAAATGGATTGGTTGGATAAATTAGAGAAGCGATTAAGAAAATCACCAAAATCTGCTGCAGATGCCGAGGAAATTTCAGAAGAACTTGATGTAAGTTTGAACTTTCTACATGAAGGTTCATTCAGCCATTCATATATTCATATAAATGTCAGTCCCCTGTATATTATCAAAAATTAAGACCAGTCCGCAGGACTGAGTTTGAAAGGTGTCTTCTTGTGCTTGGGGTATTTTATTCATAGATTGTTTTTTGAATTGAATTGAATTTATTTACATTCTATAAATCCTAAGCAGGTTAGTACCTTTGGATACAGAACAAGTCAAAAGGTTACATACATAAGTACAGGCAATTTTAGCTTAAAAATTAATATAACTTAATTTTACATCATTCTCTATTTACATTGAAGTATTCATCTAAAGAGTAGAAGGAATGAGCATGTAGATAATTCTTTAACTCTGATTAAACTTTTTAGTATCATTGCCCAAGTTTTTAATACTTTGTGGCAGATTGTTGAACACTTTTATGCCAGTAAAGTAGACTCCTTTTTGATATACTGATAAAGTTGATGAGGGTAGGTGGAAGTTATATTTTTCTCTAGTATTC